TGGGTTTCAAAGAGTCGGGTCTCCAGTGGTGTCCCATAGCCCTCATGGCCTGGACTTTGGTTTATATGTGTATCGCATATATAGGCTTATGTCGGAAAGTCAGACACCAGTGAATGACTATCATTAATAATGATTCATTATTATTATTGAACTTTGTTTTAAAAATAATAAATTCAAAAATTTGGACACTTTAATGATAATCAATAAGAAATTTTAAACGAATATAATATTTAATATGAAACAAATAATATAATTTTAAATGTTAAGTTATAAATATAATCCAACAAATAAAGCATTTTCAGTGTTGGATATATTACATTTTGTAACATCTTATAACATTTTAACATTAATCTCAATACTGACTAATGTTATAATGTTCACAGTTTTGTCACTTCTAATGTATCCCTGATTACAATGTATGCCCATTTTAGTTTTATAGTGTAATACATAAATTTCTTAATATTCTTTAATAATTAATAATAAATTCTTAAAATACAGTTTATTTCAGATAAATCTAATGTACAGTACAGTAATGGCACGTAAAATATGACATTGAGATTTTAATAATCATGATGTGTCTGGAAGTTTATTTTGTAAAATAAAATATTTTTAAAACATTTTATATTCAATTTACCACTACAACATATTATAATTTTTATGTTACTATAAATTTAAAACTAACTGTTAAACTGTTTATAAAATTATTTAAAGTAGTAGAGGATTGACCGTAAAAAGCATTATTAAAATAATTTGTGAATAGAATTAATCAATTAATATAAATTATTTAAATAATGACTGACAAACCGACCAAGAATATACTATTTTCACCAGTCACAATTCGCGGGGTAACCTTTCGTAATCGAATTGGCGTTTCATCAATGGGTCAACGCTCAGATGGGCATGGTAATATAACTGACCAACACTTGGTTATTTCAGGGAGTCAAGCTATGGGAGGGGCCGGACTGGTGATGCTCGGGGGTGCGGCTGTTGAACCAGCTGGTAGAGTGAACCGGTTCAATATAGGACTTTGGACAGATGAGCATGCTACAAATATGAGTCGAGTCGCTAATTACGTCAAATCATATGGTGCCGTACCAGGGATTCAATTGGCACATGCAGGACGTATAAGATTTATTAATGGTGGTATTGTAAACGATGATCAAGGGCAATCAATAGCTCCATCAGCCATTGCCTATAGTTCCGAACATGTTGTTCCTATTGAGGCCACACTTCATGATATCGAGCGCATTAGCAATGCTTTTGTATCGGCGGCTCTTAATGCAGTTAAGGCTGGTTTTCAGGTATTGTCAACTAGATCATTTGTATCATAATTGTCATTTTTAAAATATAAATCATAAATAAAATATCGTATACAAGTAACTTCTTTACATAAATCATTTTGTTAATATAGTACAGTATATTTATAATTTAACAATTTAAACATAGTCAATTATTGATATTTGTATAATAATTTATTGTTCGGTAGAATGTGCAAAGCTGATATTTTAATGATATTTGATTTACAGGTGATTGAGCTGCAATTTGGCCATGGTTATCTTATGAGTACGTTTTTATCGCCAGTCACAAATAAGCGCAGTGATATGTACGGGGGCAGTTTCGAAAATCGTATACGTTTGGGTCTAGACGTAGCCACCAGAGTGCGCCGGGCTGTGGGCAAAGACATTGTGGTGAGTGTCAAGGTATCCGTAACCGACTATTGTGAAGGGAGTTGGGATGTCAAACACACCATAGAGTTTGCCAAACGATTAAAGGCTATTGGGGTAGACCTGCTTAATTGTAGCTCGGGCAATGTTGTGGACGGTGTGCTAAATACGGCTACGAACCCAGGTGCTGTGCAGGTTTTAAGCGCCGGTATCATACAGCGTAAAACTGGCATGC